TTTGGTGAAGGGGGGGTTATGCTGTGGGGTAGTTTTTCAGGGGTTGGGCTTGGCCACTTAGTTCCAGTGAAAGGAACTCTTAAGGTGTCGACATACTAAGACATATTGGACAATTTCATGCTCCCAACTTTGTGGGAACAGTTTGGGGATGGCCCCTTCCTGTTCCATCATGACTTTGCACCAGTGTACAAAGTAAGGTCCATAAAGTCATGGATCAGCGAGTTTTTGGTGAAGAAAATTGACTGGTCCTGACCTCAATCCCATAGAACACCTTTGGGATGAATTAGAGTGGAGACTGCAAGCTAGGCCTTCTCCTCCGACATCAGTGCCTGACCTCACAAATGTGCTTCTGGAAAAATGGTCAAACATTCCCATAGGCACACTCCTAAACCGTGGACAGCCTTCCCAGAAGAGTTGAAGCGGTTATAGCTGCAAAGGGTGGGCCAGCTCAATGTTGAACCCTACAGACTAAGACCAGTATGCCATTAAAGTTCATGTGCGTGTAAAGGCGTGTAAAGTATTGGTGACTGTCAATCACCGGCTCTCTTCTCTGTCCCTCCAGCTCTCACTGGAACGCTGGGCTGGAGAGGGAGCCGAGAGCGGCTGGCTCAGTCTTCCAGCAGCTTGCTGAGAGGCTCAACCAGCTGCTAGTCCAGGCATATTTTCAGAGCCTAAACTGGTTCTGTGACATCAGCAAACAGTGGGCTTTAGCCCGAGTCTCGATCCTTGATTAATAAGTCAGTCAGTGTTGGCAGGAGCACCAACAACATACAGCAGAAAAGATCTTGCAGTACTGTAACTTTAGTTTAAAAAAGTTTTGTCCGGTTTTCAGTTACGAAAATATGTAATCATATAGAATTTACTATGAAGTGACAGGGAGAAAAGTGTGATCAATCTGTCTCTGGCACATTTACCTTACAAGCTAATTTCCTCAAATACAGGGATAACAGGGGAGTTCTTTGGTCCAGTCACCCACTGCATTACTCTGCCGATCCTCCCCTTGGCCACCACCAAGTCTTGTGATGAGGTCACAAGAAATACACAGAAGAATATATCTTCATAGGAATCAGCTAACTGAAAAACTCCTTCCGCTACATGCTCTGCACATGGTGATGGTACTAGGGAGATCATTTTTTTTTTGCCTTGCCGGTTCAGCTTTAAGTACTTGGATCAGCAGGGCAAATTGGTTTGGCTTTGAAGTTGACTTTGAAGTCAGAGCCAGGCAAAGGCTCACAAGCGTTGTCATGTGGGAGTCAGAATGAATCTGATTTATGGTAATAGGCTAGTCTACTTCTGCTTGGCCAGCATCTACTTTTCATTCAAGCAAAAGCAACAAATTTCATCTTTCATTAACACATCTGTGCAGTACTGTTCTAATAGTGCCAATTTACTAGAAGTTGCAAAGAATGCTTTACTCTATAACAAGTCAAAGTCCTGTCTTAGACCTGTTTCACACATTTTCATTCTAACATGATGAACATGTAAAATGCATGGGCAATATATGACAATGCTATTGATAGAACCTGTTCACATCTGCCAGCTGCAATGCAGTGAGTTTTTGAAAATAGCTCAGTTCAACATTTGTGACCCAGTTTCATGCATTTTTACGGTCATAAAAGTCAATGAAAGCGCTAGAAAATGCATGTATGATTTTCCACCCCTGGATACCTGCCATGTGCTCACACATAGCAGAGCAACCTGGCTGCAGGAGAGGGATTCTTTGATGCAGAAATGCAGGTTAGGGAGGTTCAAAGCATCCCCCTGTTCTACACCTGCTTCCACTAGAACTACAAAGATAGGGAGAGATCCAAAATCTTTAATTGAAAGCTGCACCCCGCACTCTGTACATAGCGTACCCCTGCACCCCGCAATCTGTACATAGCATACTCCTGCACCCCGCACTCTGTACATAGCGTACTCCTGCACCCCGCACTCTGTACATAGCGTACTCCTGAACCCCGCACTCTGTACATAGCGTACTCCTGAACCCCACACTCTGTACATAGCATACTCCTGAACCCTGCACTCTGTACATAGCGTACTCCTGAACCCCGCACTCTGTACACATAGCGTACTCCTGAACCCCGCAATCTGTACATAGCATACTCCTGAACCCTGCACTCTGTACATAGCATACTCCTGAACCCTGCACTCCATATGTAACACACACCCGAACTCTGCACTCTTTGTAACACACCACTTTTGAACTCTACACTTTGCACATAATGTATTCTTGAACTCTGCACCCTGTACATAAAAACACACTCCTGAAATCTGCATTCAATGTTTTACAGATGCAACCAGGCCTTTGAGGGACACCATAATGCTGATGCGGTCCGCGATGAAATGGAGTTTGACACCCCTGCTTTAGGGAGGGAGTGTAGGGGACAGTATTTACAAACACATTCTGTATGGGGAAAGAAGAAGAAAAACCATCTACCACCATGTGGCTCAGCAGAGCTACCAGAAATGAATAGGTTGAGCACTACATGCAGCGCCTTGAAAAAGTATTCATACCCCTTGAAATTTTCCATATTTTGCCTTGTTACAGCCAAAAACGTAAATGTATTTTATTGGGATTTTATGGGATAGAGCAACACAAAGTGGCACATAATTGTGAAGTGGAAGGAAAATTATAAATGTTTTTCAAAATTGTTTACAAATAAACATCTGAAAAGTGTGTCATGCATTTGTATTCAGCCCCCTTTACTCTGATACCCCTAACCAAAATCTAGTGAAACCAATTGCCTTCAGAAGTCACCTAATTAGTAAATAGAGTCCACCTGTGTGTAATTTATTCTCAGTGTAAATACAACTGTTCTGTGAAGCCTTTAGAGGTTTTTTAGAGAACATTAGTGAACAAACAGCATCATCAAAGCCGAGGAACACACCAGACAGGTCAGAGATAAAGTTGTGGAAAAGTTTAAAGCAGGGTTAGGTTATAAAAAAACATCCCAAGCTTTGAACATCTCACAGAGCACTGTTCAACCCATCATCTGAAAATGGAATGAGTATGGCACAACTGCAAACCTACCAAGACATGGCCGTTTACCTAAACTGACAGGCCAGGCGAGGAGAGGATTAATCAGAGAAGCAGCCAAGAGGCCCATGATAACTCTGGAGGAGCTGCAGAGATCCACAGCTCAGGTGGAAGAATCTGTCCACAGGACAACTATTAGTTGTGCACTTCAAAAATCTGTCCTTTATGGAAGAGTGGTAAGAAGAAAGCCATTGTTGAAAGAAAGCCATAAGAAGTCTTGTTTGCAGTTTGCGAGAAGCGATGTGGGGGACACCACAAACATGTGGAAGAAGGTGCTCTGGTCAGATGAGACCAAGATTGAACTTTTTGGACTAAAAGTAAAACGCTATGTGTGGCGGAAAACTAACACTGCACATCACCCTGAACACACCATCCCCACTGTGAAACATGGTGGTGGCAGCATCATGTTGTGGGGATGCTTTTCTTCAGCAGGGACAGGGAAGATGGTCAGTTTTGATGGGAAGATGGATGGAGCCAAATACAGGGTAATCTTAGAAGAAAACCTGTTAGAGTCTGCAAAAGACTTGAGACTGGAGTGGAGGTTCACCTTCCAGCAGGATAACGACCCAAAACATACAGCCAGAGCTACAATGGAATGGTTTAGATCAAAGCATATTCATGTGTTAGAATGGCCCAGTCAAAGTCCAGACCTAAATCCAATTGAGAGTCTGTGGCAAGACTTGAAAATTGCTGTTCACAGACGTTCTCCATTCAATCTGGAGAATCAGCTATTTTGCAAAGAAGAATGGGCCACTCTCTAGATGTGCAAAGCTGGTAGAGACATCCACAAAAAGCTGCAATTGCAGCGAACGGTGGTTCTACAAAGTATTGACTCAGGGGGCTGAATACAAATGCACGCACACTTTTCAGATATTTATTTGTGAAAAATTTTGAAAACCATTTATCATTTTCCTTCCACTTCACAATTATGTGCCACTTTGTGTTGGTCTATCACATAAAATCCCAATAAATTACATATACATTTTTGGCTGTAACATGACAAAATGTGGAAAATTTCAAGGGGCATGAATACTTTTTCAAGGCACTATAAATTCAAGGCCCCTTTCACATGGGTGTATTCCATTTTGATCAGCAGGGAATCACCATACAGATCCCCCTGCTGACCAGAGCAGAATGGGCGGATGACACATCATTGCAGAAACTGGGCAAACATGGGCAGAGCCAACTCAGCAGTATGGGTAGCTGGGAGCAAACAGACTCCATTGTCCATTTACACCCGACTATGCTCCGATAACGGAAAAGGAATTATCCCCTTCGATTTTTATTTTAATTTTTTTTTAACAGACCCAATCGGATCCTGACATAGGCGGGTGTAAACATACAGAAGTCTGTTTACACCCGCCTTATCCATAGGAATGCATGGGCCTTCAGATCAGGTCTGCCAGAAAGACTTGCATCCTGAAAGGATCACACATGTGAAAGGGGCCTAAAGCAGAATTTGGAACTTCACCCTTCTTTTCCACTTTTGGAGTTTTTTTTTTTCCAGCCCCCCCATCCCCAGTACAGTATTTGTAGTTGCAGAATTTCATCTTGAAGATCCTCATTAATCTCAGGGGTACCTTTACAACTATATGGATTTGTGAAAAGGAGGAGCAAAGTAATAGATTTGCTTATTCAACACATTACTGCTTTAAATATCCAAATCTATAAAAGTAGAAATGCTAAAAGTATGGTGCCATAGTCGTGCATATCCCACACATTTATATAATCAAGCATGTATTTAGCTGCCTTGTCTGTGAAATAATCACCGCAGACAAAAACACAGCCAAGCAGAGCTACATTTCAGAACACACTCTCCCTTTTTTAGAAGTAAATGGTACATTGTGGGAAAATGGTAGCAGGATGTGGGCAAGCAAGTTAGTCTGAAGGTGAGATATTAGAAAAACAGGCTATCTACAACATACAAAGAATTCATCTCCCATGCATGCATGCTGCTTACCATTGTCCTTACTACTGTTTTCTTCAATGGTCATTTGCTCTGCCAATTCAGACAGAGATTCGTCTATGGTCTGACTGCCTCGAAGAGTGAGAGACAGCCTTCTCTTAAACTTTTTCATGTTTCACGTAAAGGTGCACAGAGTAGGGAAGCCTGAAAAATACAAAAAAAAAAAAGTGGGTACAGTTAGTACAGCCGTCTGTAGCAGTTTATGCTTTAACATTAACGTTTGAAAACTGTAGTCAAACATCGGGTCCTAATGATTCATACAGTATGAGTGTATTTCCTCTGATTAACTAGAGTAGAGACAACAGGAAAATGTACAAAGCTTGGTGCAGGACAAAAACTGTGCACATTCCATTCTTTCATTCTTGTACATGACATGACAATAAATCTGGTTTGATGTTTTATTTTTCTTTATCTCACACCTTCAATTCTTCAACACTGTGTAAGGAGTTCCCATGTTTACATGACACACATGATATCATAAGGAAAAAAAAAATCACTTCAAGTGGTTTTAAAGAAATTGTATGCATGACCTTAGGTTCATACCTTACTATAGTATAATACAGGATTTATATAGCGCCAACAGTTTGCCCAGCGCTTTACAATATAAAGGGAGACAATACGATTCAATGCAAGAGGGTTAGGAGGGCCCTGATCCTTGGAGCTTACAATCTAAGAGGGAGGGGCTGGTGGTACAAAAGGTAATAAGTGTGGGGGATGAACTGATAGGAGAAATAGAAGATTTGGTATTATTATTATTATTATACAGGATTTATATAGCACCAACAGTTTGCTCAGCACTTTACAATGTAAAGGGAGACAATACAGCAACAATACAGTTCAATGAAAGAGGGTTAGGAGGGCCCTGATCCTTGGAGCTTACAATCTAAGCATTTTCCGTAGCGTTTTGCAGAAACTCACAGCAGTCCATTTAACATTATTTCCTATAGAACACATTCACATCTCCGAGTTTTCACCTGGTGCATTTTTTTTTGTAAAGGGTCAGGGATTTATTTTTTTTTTAAAATGTAAAAAGTTGCGTTTTTGGTTCTATAGTCTTCAAAGGAAAGGCTGCAGAAAAGCATGTAGTGCGTTTTTGATGAGTTTAAAATCTGCCTAGCAAAAAGGAAAAAAAAAAAAAACGCATCATAAACGCGGCAAAAGCGCAGGTGCAAAAAAACACAAAACGCAATGCAGAAACGGGTCAAACGCAAACTGCATAGGTGTGAACCTAGCCTGAAGGTAAAAACTTTCCAGTAACAGCTCTTAACAGCCCCCTTCCCCAAACATTCACCTGGCTCATCTTTTGATTTAGCACTGTGCCCAGGAGTAGCATCACTGCTCTCTATCCCCTTACATGCACAAGGGCAGCATTGGGAGCCATTAGCTGTTGTTGTCAATCAAATCCTGTTAGAAGGGAGCAAGGGGTGTGGTCAAGCTGCACTGTGTGTGTCAATAGGCACACACAGCCCAGCTTGGGGTCGAGCCCGCACATTTGCCCCCCTTGCAAGCGCTTCCTATAGTCACAGAAGAGGAGAAAACAAGAATGCCAGCGGGGGACCCTAAAGAGGAGGTTCGGGGCCACTCTGTGCAAAACCATTGCACAGAGCAGGTATAACATATTAATTATTTTATTAAAAAAAAAAAAAGTTTACGATTTACAATAACTTTCAATTGGATTCCAATGCATAAGTTACTGATTGTAAAGCTCATTCACAGAAGGTGGATGCCGCATAGATCAACATACAGGAGCATAGAAAATTGTTGTAGGTTTATCCCGTTCATGCTATACAAATGAGCTGCATAAAAATGTAGCATGTCTGCATTTTTACACACTGCAATACAAGTCACTACATGTCAATGCACCACAGCATAAAGTCGAACTGTGTTTTGTTAACTTTTTAAACAAAGCATTGCACAGCCCCTATACAATGCACACTAGCAAGTGCTTGTTATGGAGCACAATGTGTGTGGGCTGGTGTAAACAGGATCAAAATCTTTTAAACTGTGTACCTTTCTGTTTAAAGTTGACATGCTAAAAGTTTTATACCCTCAAATAGATTTTATAGTACTCATAACAAAAGATTTTTTTTTTAATCACTTGCCCTCCAGGAGGATTTACTCCCCCCACCTCCTGACCAGGCCATTTTTTGCGATACGGCGCTGCGTTACTTTAACTGACAATAGCGCGGTCATGCAACACTGCACCCAAGTGAAATGTATGTCCTTTTTTCCCCACAAATAGAGTTTTCTTGCTTGCGGTGGTATTTGATCGCCCCTGCGGTTTTTATTTTTTGCGCTATAAAGAAAAAAAAACTGAGAATTGTGAAAAAAAAAAAACAATATTTTTGACTTTTTGCTATTAAATGTGTCCAGTAAAAACAATTTTAAAAAAATGTAAATTTAGTCATAAAATTGAGGCCAAAATGTATTCTGCTACGTCTTTGCTAAAAAAAATCCCAATACGCGTAAATTAATTGGTTTACGTTAAAGTCACAGCGTCTACAAATGGAGTTATAGACAGGGTGGATAAAAATCAATGATTTTTTTTTTAAAAATTAAGAAAAAAAACTGATTTTTTTAATTTAAATCGGATTTTTTTAATTTAAATCGGATTTTTTTTATTTAAATCGGATTTTTTTAAAATAAAATGCTTTTAGAGGAAAATATATTACCATCCAAAGGTTATTCCATCATGAAATAAAGATTAGTTTTTTAATTATGTAGAATAAGGCTGTATATGTTTAATTTTTTTGGTAAATAAATTCCATTAATCCATTCACAATGTCATGCTCTTCCAGAGGTTTTTGTAAGATTATTGGGCAGTTTCTCTGCCTACAAGATATTATCACAGATGCTTGGTTTACTTTGCAGTTCTCAAAACTGAATTTGACTCAGCGGAGATCACATGCCTCTTCTTCACAGCAAAAATGTTATAACATGAACAGAGTTAAGAAAAAGACCTTAATCCGAACTTCTACAAACCTATGACTATAGAATCAACCCCTTCAGTGCTAAATTTCAAGAAGTTCAGTGAATAGAATAGAAGCAATATTTTTCTGATTGTTTGGAGTGGAATAGATCTGCACAAGAAGACAAGAAGAAAGTGAAACCAAGTGTGAGGAGGAAGGGGCTGACAGTCTAAGTTTCTTAAAATATATATATTTTGTTTAGCCAAATTAGTTAACAAACATGGATGTTTGTTTAAGCAAATAACATATGCTGGAATGTTATTGTTTCAGTTGAATAAATCTATTTAAATTGTTATTATTAAGGTAATGATTATTTTTCTCCTTCCTAAGTACAACAGAAAAGTTGTCCAAATATGAATGATTAACCTATTAAACTGGGGATAAAAAAACTAATATGAAAAGTTATTTGAAAAATCTTCATCTACTTGCATATTAAAGTTATACCAGCAAGAATTAGTCAAATCCACCCTGGTTATAGATAAAAGAATTTTTTTTTTTAAAAAAAAATTCTAGTAAAGGCGGTGATCAGTGACTTATAGTGGGACTGCAGCAGGCTTTCTGACTCTTGGGGGAGAACTGATTGTCACCGACATCCCCAGTGACACTAACACAGTGATCAGTGCTAATAAAAAGCACTGATACTGGGCAAGAAGGGGTTAACATCTGGGGCGATCAAAGGGTTAACTGTGTGCTGTTTTACTGTGTGCGTGCTTTACAGCGTCAGCACAGTGCTTTGTACTGCTCTGCTACACAGAGCAATACAAGCAGTGTGCTGGAGCTGACAAGCACACACATATATATATATACACACATATACACACACACTATATATATATATATATATATATATATATATATATATATATATATATATATATAGTGTGTGTGTGTGTATATGTATGTATATATGTGTGTGTGTATATGTATATATATATATATATATATATATATATATATATACACACACACACACACACACTATACATATATATATACACATACATACATACATACATACATACACACACACACTATATATATATACACACACATATATATATATATATATATATATATATATATACACATACATATACACACACACACACTATATATAATATATATATATATATATATATATATATATATCATACACACACACGCACACATATATACACACACACACACACACACACACACACACACATATATACACACACACACACATACATACATATACACACACAAATAGGTCACCCTAGATTTCCCTGTCCTTTTCCTTTTTGAAGCTTAAAACCTTCCCTCTGAAATCATGTTATATGCATTGCTGGAAAAATACCATGTTTAAAATAACCCTAAACTGCATCAGGAATTGACACATTGATATAATTTGTAACGCACGATGCAACAAATTTATAAATGGGACTCATGTTATAACAAAAATGGGGGAAAAAAAAAAAAACACACACAAGACACATTGTGATAAATTGGACAAAGAAAACCTGTGCTAAGCATTATAAATTCACCCAATGAGTAGGTGAGAGAGAATACACACTATTTATTATACACGCTATTTATATACTAATGGAGCCACCAGTCGGCAATGCTGCTTAATGATATTCTTTCAGTAATTTTTTTATGAATTTGTGCCTAGTTATAATTAAAATTTCTGACAGAGCACAGGAATACCTAAAAACATTAAAGAAAAAAATAAATCTCAAAAGACGCAAGTGGGTGTTCAGAAAACACTAGTTAAAAAGCTTTGCCAGGCCTCGATACTTTGGAGTCACACACAGAACATGCAACAAGCCTGAGTCACAGTGACTTAAACCGGAACTATACTGCATTTGAGCCCCACAAATCAAAAATGCTAATTAATTTTTAACATCCAAAGCAAATTCCCCCATCCATCTATATCTCCATGTTTTATTTTGCTGAGAAATCACTTAGAGAAATACATCCCCCTAGCATTTCTGGCAGTGGCCATCTTGAGTAAGGGATGATGACTCATGTAGCATTGACTTCCTGAGAGAAACCATCTGCCCTTAGTTCAGGCATGCAGGCAGGAGGGTGTGCTTATTTGAGAAAACCCCTCCTCCCCTTGTGTAACATCATTTGCCTATGCAAGAAACCACGAAGTAAC